ATTTTTCTGCTTCAATACTATTTGTATATGACTTTACTACATTTCTTTTGACAGTTAAAGAAATATATACTGCTTAAAAGGTGCATTTGTTATTCAAAATCATTCAGTGGTTAGGAACTGATTATTAGGATAAGACTATTTTATTGTTTCCCATAGGATAGATAATAAAATCTTCATAGATTAGGCCACTGTTGCATCCAAAAACGTGTAACATCAAAGATAACAAAAAACCCTGAATGGATTACTCCAAATCCCTTCAAATAGCTCTTATTGCTAATGTTACGATAAGAAAAGAAGCCCCTTCTTTCAGTTGAAGGAAGAAGTGTAAGGTATACATCATGGAAGCAATGAAATGACCTGGAAATTTTTATTTTAAAGCTACTGAGACCCAGATTGGGTCAAAAGATTAGTTTTGACTTTGAATACCACTAAATTCATAGCAATTGTGAAATTTAGCCTGAGGTCTTCGTGAGGTTTGATTTAATTGTGGTTTTCAAAAGCTCTGCTATGATCAGAGAGGTTGGAGTGATATTTTAAGGGCCTGAATGTTGGTGTTTGAATTATTTTTTTTTTTTAATACTAGTCACTGTTCATATATAACTTGTGCCCTTTTTTCCATTAGATTTTGCATAGAGGGAGAAGTTCCAACCACATAATATCATATATTGTTTACAAAGTGAAATATTTCTGTGAATTTAATCCAACAGGAATTTGTAACCATTCCAGTGAAACTGGCTCATCTTTGCCTCAGATGAGTTGATGTGTTGAGAAAGCCTGTCTTTAAATGGGGAGCGAGGCAATGGCCTGGGCCTTTATTATTTGTGGGATTGCAAAAGTTGTTGTTCAATAGTATGTATTAGTTCAGATTAAGTGGCAGTCTGATACCTGCACTGCAATCTTCCTAAAACGCTCAAGAATAACTAGAGTTTATGAGGCTGACCCTTATACAGATATGCATTAGTTTTCTTACAGCCCATGGACCACCTACGTAAATTTAGTAACTGCTAATGTTCCCTTTGTTCTCAGTTTGAATCTGTTTTCCATTTCCTGAATAATAAAAAACATTTAGTCACACAGTTATATTTATTTTCTTTTACATACAACCACACTAGTACATGTGGCTCACTGACTGGGACGGTATCCTGAAAAAATAAGTGCAGCGGACCTGGGTCATCTCCTGAAGGGATTCCAGCATATTGGCTTTGATAGCAATAAAGTCAGGTGTCCGAGGCAGCAGATGAAAGGATGGTTGTCATAAGGTATTAGTACAAGGGGCAGTAGGAGGATTAATGGAATGGATTGTTTCAAATTTAATGTCTGTTAGAGGTTTTGTTTGTATTCAAACCACTTTTGTTATCATATTCCGTATTTCTACTTGAATTTTTCTCGTGTTTTTTAGGGCTACGACTAATTACACTTGATTGAATTTTGGCAGTCATTCATTTAGTGTGTTCCGTGTCAAAAACTAGTTACGTTTTCACAATTCTGCAGAGCAAATGTATGTATTATATATTGGCTAATATTGGCTTAGTTGACTGGTGTCGGTCTTTTGGCAAGTAGCATGACATTTAATCAGAGACGGTGAGCAATTTGAATCTGTTGGGTCACATCTATTTTGTGATTCCTAAATCAGATAATCACATGACTGACCAAGATACATAAGTCAGTCATGTGGAGGTTCAGCTTCAGCTGTGCAGTGACAGGCCTATTTCTTGTTATTGTAATAAACAGTGTTGTGAAAACGTCTTTGCTCCATACTGGTTTGCAAATTTTTTTGTATGTCAAATCAAATCAAATCACTTTTATTGTCACATCACATGTGCAGGTACATTGGTACAGCACATGTGAGTGAAATTCTTGTGTGCGAGCTTCACAAGCAACAGAGTTGTGCAAAATACAATAATGTAAACAAGCAAAATACAAGAATGGCTACATCTGAAACTAATAAATATATGTACAATATATAATAGTATATGCATTTCTGGATGTGTATACTAAATATTTTTCTACGTGTTTGTCACAATTAAATGTTTTAGATCATCAAACAAATTAAATAAGATAACACAAATGTAAACAAAAGGTCTAATGTCACACTTTTTCACACAGGGCTATATAGGTTTGGATGTCTTTCTCCCTTAATAATAAACACATTCATAATGTAGCATAAGCGTATGCTTAAAAAACTTTTTTGTGGCTTACTAGTTCTTTAAATTGAATCAGCGTCTTCAATGGTCTCATGGGATTAGCATCTCTGCTCATCACGTTGACATTGTGGTTTGAGCCATCATCTTGTGAATCTGTGCACATGCATAGTGGAAGTTTTAAAGTTTTTAATTGAGCAGTTCTATATATGCACGTTTTATGTTCCTCTAACCATTGAAATAAAAGTTATGCCTGAGTCTACATTCATATAAATAGAGCCTTCAAAATACCTGACCTTTTATTTGATGCCTGTCAAGTAGAGGTACTTACTTTGAAATATGTGGGGTCAAAACCTCCCAGCAGAAAGGTCAAGTCTGCCCCACCTGATACGTTTGGGAAGTCAGTAACTCCAGTTTATCAATAAAACCAGCTTGAGATGCTCCTGTTGTTGAGATCATGGCATTACAATACAGGATTGAAAATGTGGTGTGACCTAATGATAAAGTATGAGTATATGCTTGTGTCTTACTTTCACATAATGCATTTCTTTCTTTGATCGCACTCTCTTCTAATTCATAATTTATTAATACACTTTTTCTCTTGTAGCCTGCAAATGGCTTGGTTGATGGCTTTTCCATTTTACTTCAGGAAGTGTCTCGTGATTCGTGATCTCAGAATGACTCATCATTATCATGGATCCATTTTTTTATTTATTTTTTAATTTTTTTAAATTAGATAAAGGGTAAAGTGAACAAGGTGACAATGTTTACAAGACCCCAGCAATGTGGGCTAGTCCCTCTTGTAATTTTAATCCCCTCGCATATAATCCCGCCTCTTCTGCCATTTCCATTCTTTTCATGACCCCTCCCTCTTTTTTTCCGCTCTCTCTCACTGTCCTCTCTCATCCCACTTATTCCACCTTACGGCTGATGGAGCATTAAGCCTGAATGCTGTGGGCAGCCATAGCTTCAGATTCAGAGCGTGCACTTGAGTGAGCCACTGCTGCGCGAGTTCCTCCCCTGGTCTTTCACATTCTTGCTGTTTCTGGATATTCAGGAATTACTTGCTTGAACTGGCCAGTTTCTGTTGTTATTGTGTAGAAGTGGGGGTTCATTGTTCCCCATGACGTTACCCCTTTAACTGTGGATATCTAGAGCATGGTCTTGTGGATGCCCTCTCCAAATTAACCACAGCTTTTTGGTTCTCTAATTTGGAGGACATCGGATGGACATTTTCTGGATTTGTATATTTTTGAATGATTCCACGACGAGACACAGTGGATAAGATGGTGCCCCTACAAAAAAGGGTAATCTGAGTTATGTGTGCAGAGGAGGAGAGGATGGTTTTGTGTGCATGATGTGGGTGCAGCTATGTGTGCTTATTGTTTTCTGTTTTGTGCCCTGAATGCTGGATGTCTGTAATAATTTTCATCATGAAGTAAATATTGTTAATTGCTTTAATTGGAACATGGCGTCTCAGAGTGAGCATGTGCTTGGGCGATAACAACAAGCAGTGGATGGGTGTCTGAAAGTTTAGACTTTAGGATTGATGAGGCAGAGTTTAATTTCAGTAAAAATGTGTAAATCTGTTGATTTCATCTTCTGCTGAGTGGCTCGCTGATGAGGAGTGATTGCTCATTGAAACTGACTAACAATGCAGAGTGCACCGCTACCCCTCACCCCCACCCTTCTCACTCCATTGTTTTTGCTTGAGTAGCAGTTAATTGTGTGAAGGCTTGTTCAAAGGTGTGCAAGAAATTTTGATCACCCTCTAGACAACATTTTGTGGCTTCAGTAAAGCTAGAAATATATTTTCCTGAAGTGTTTGAATATTTTGCACTTCTAACAAATAAGCCAGTTTAACACACCTTCTCATAGGCTACACTAAACCTCTTAAACTTTTCATCACCACAACCACTTCCTGTGTCTAGGGTAAGAAAGCGCACTTTGTGGAGGATGTTCTAAAGTGCCCTGCATGGTTTGCGTTGAGAATTAGAAAGAACTTTTTGCACTGTGCTTAAGAGCAATTATCTGCACTCAGGAAGACTACCGACATGTTAGAAGAGAGGATGGGAGATTGTTGGAGCCGCACTAAGGTTGTCCGTGTCTTTTTTGTTGTTCACCTTTGGAATTATTTTGTAATTCTCTTGGAATTAAGCATACGATTGTTAGTGAAACTTTGCACGTATGTAAATCGATATTCCAGATGAAGGCTTTTCTTTTTTGAAGTGATGAATTTCAAGACGTGACCTCAGCCAACTAAAGGCTCATTTTTTCCTCACAAGTCATGAACGAATCATGAAGAATGAGTTCAGTCTGAACAGCTGTGTTTGGTTATCAGTAGTGAGGATTGCTGCTGCTGCTGCTGCTGCTTGTTTTTACTGTGAGCTCTACTTTTTCTCTGTGACAGACCACAATTTGAAATTTAATTAAGAGTAGCAAGGGGAAACTTGCTGGAAAATGACTCGGTGTCAGGAGGACAGTTGCAGGCTTATTCCAGGAAACACGTCCTTTGAAGAGTTTAAATCACAATTTAGGTTGTTTGAGATCAATTACTGAGAACAAACCAATGCGTGGCCTGTGGGAAGCCAGATGAGCAGTAGTCTACAAACAGAAGTTACATTTTAATACACTTAATGATTAGTATGAGCAGTGCTCAACTGCAAAGGTCTTTGGTGAAAATGCAAGTGGGCCAGAGTAAGTGAGCAAAAGATCGACAGTAGGTCCCTTGCAGTGCCGTCATTGAACTGATTGAATCGTTTGTAATGCTTAACTTTCTTATTACAATGTAAATGGCATTACAGAGTGCTTTATTTTCCTTCTTGAATGATGTAATCACCATCTTCTTCTTTTCTGCAGGATCAGTTTGACAACTTGGAAAAACATACACAGTGGGGGATCGAGTTTGTGGAAAAGTACACCAAATTTGTCAAGGAGAGATCAGAAATTGAAACCAACTATGCAAAACAGATTAGGTGAGTATTTAAGTTTACTCAGAATCATATCGTGGGTTGCAGAAGCAGTTGTAATAATGGTGAATGTTTTCCTCTTGATGACATAGATAAAAAAGACACACACAGAAACAGACACTACAGCAGGATTTGACCTACCGAAGTGCCCTTGAGACTGAATCTTAAACACCACATTTTGAAGCTGACCTTGACCTCTGGCCTCCCATAGGAAGAGGAGACTAAATGAACAATCCCATGTGGGAAACCGTGCATTGGAATACAAGTTATCAAGAAATTCTCTTATTTTCACAGCAGTGTTGTTGTTTGCCTGCAAGGAAGCAGAATTACCTTATGTAACTGCAGAACCAAACATGCAAGCGGAAGAGGTTGTCTATTCCCCTCCATCCTTTTTGTCTGTGAAGAGTCTGTCTGCTGCTTTGCACTCTCTCCTGCGTGCTGTCTGATTGTGTTGCTAGCTTCAGTTTCAGGCAAGAGGAAGTCAGGTTGTGGGGGAAGGGGGTGAAGCTTGTGTTTCCATAGAGATTACTAGGTATCAGCATTATCAACCCCAGGTCTGACCCAGATTTTTCCCCCCCTCCAATCACAAGTGTTGGTCCCGCCCCCTCCACTGTGTTTTGCTGCAGTCACTTATTTTTTTCAGGGGAAGTAGTGGGAGTGTATTCGGTCCTGCATTGACAGGATGCGCTTCACAAGACCTCTTGCATCCATGCACAGTGGGAGATACCCCCCAAATCCACAATCCTCCTATTTAAAGAGGCCAGGCAATATGGCTAATGCTTTAAGTATTGACCCCCAACCCCCAGTTTCACAGAATCTAGCCACTACCATTCCAGTATTCACAATGAAGGCCTCTGTAACACGCCCTGTGATCCTGTATGCAGACCTTGCCATGCCTGTTTCTTGATAATTAAGTCAGCTTGAGATAATAGGACTATCTGTCTGTGTTTATATGCATGCATTACCTACATATCTCTGTATTCACTAACTTTTCAGACCTAAATACGGACACATGCAAACAGAGGTGTTTTTTTAATTGGTGCATATAGTTTTCCTAACTATTAATTTTGTTCTGTTCTTTTCTTTCTGCAAATCTGCTAAGTAATAATGTTGAACTTTAAGTATTTAAGGTCCTCTTTTATTGTCTGGATCATTTTAATGGCATGTAAAATACATTGCCTCAGTTAAATAAAATTAGTTAAATTAAAGCACCGCATTAGTAAAATAAGGTGGACCTAAGGTGGGCTTGTATGTAAACAAATATAGATATCCAATAATTCTGTTAGTTACTAGCATCTGTCACTGTGTGTTCCGCTCATCTAGCTATAGTAGGTTTATTGAACTGGAGGCTCTCCAGATGGTCCGAATGTTTTCAGGGCTTACTGTTATCTAGCATACACATATACACACAGATATATGTGCATATCGACATGCTTGACAGAAAAGCTAAAATGAGATAGTTAGGACATTAAGACAGAGGTTTTGCGACTCATTGAGTTTTCTATTGTTTTCAACACACTGGTTCTTTGTTGTGGTGCTACTTGGCCATACCTCAGGACTAAGTACCCTCTGTAATCAACTTGATTTGTGACATCAGGTATAATCTATTGGGCACACTCATGCTAAAAAAAATGCAGAGCTCTTAAATCTAATAAACTAATGGAACTAATCCTTTGATCTAGTCCTCCTTTCTCTCAGCTGTGTTGCTGGGCAGATTTTTCATGCTCAGAGGTAACGTCTTTCATCACAGTAGACAACTTGATAAGTCACAACAGGAAATGCACAGGTGTATTTAAAGACATTGCTTAACCTTGTGCAAGTTTATAGTTATGGTTTAACTTGCTGGGTTGCATATGAATCAGTTTTTTAATTAAAAAAAAAACTAATTCAAATAATTCTTTGTTCACCCAGATGTTATATCTGGGTGAACAAAGACTCACATTTTATATTCCTCTAGGCCAAAGGATTAAGAGAGAAAATGTTTGTCAGATCAATAAGCCTGCAGAAATGGGCCAATTATGGGGGAGGAATCATCAATAAGTGAGGCCACAGTTTTAATACAGTTGCAACAAATGCTTCGTGAAACATATGAAACACTTTGCTTTTCTAAAGAACTGAATGCCATGTATTGCTATAAATCTACTTTACACCATTTCATCACCATACCAACCACACTGCACTAATCCATGAATAATCCTCTTTCCCTGAATTGGTGTAAACATGCACAATGCTTCAGTGTAGTCATTGCAGGGGCAGTGCATTAATGCCCCACCCTCCTCTCCCCTAGAGTCCAGTCTGGAGTAATCCAAATCAAAGTGGGAATAAAATCTTGCTGAAAACACACTGGTAGAGGGAGAAAATGTTATCAACTGCTTCAGAGATTTTGCCTCAGTAACTGTACAGAAAAATATGGAGACATATCCTCTTAAGTTGCCCCAAACCCCATTTAACCATCCTCATTTAAAGCTAGTTGTTACCCTAGTTTCAACACATTTGCTAAATATGTTGCTGAGTTGAGTGGGACACATACAGTCTGACACGTGGCTTCTGGCTGTGAGTGAATGAATGAGTGAGTGGGAGCTAGGGCTATAATTAGAGGTTGGGTGAAAAGGAGAGAGAGATAGGCACATAGATCTGCCTAGCAACAGTGCAAACACCACTGGAAAGTCGTGTGGGGGATGTGGGTATGAGAGAGCTGGATGGAGTTCATGCAGACCCACATTATATCTTTCTTAATACATTTATTATTTATTTCGGCATGAATTAAGCAAGCTCTTGTGCAAGCTGAGGCATTTAGGTCCCATCACTGAGCAAACTGCTGAAATACCAGATCAAACACAGTCACCAATGACTGTAATCAGCTCTTTGCATCAGTTTACATTGACATGGTGTAATAATTTGGACAATAATGCCACAAGGTTCATGACATTAGACTGGAAAATTTCACTTTCTCTTTTTCATGTCTTTTTTCTGTATCAGTTAACAAATTTGTGGCTTTTTCCTTTTGATATGTCTTTTTTTTGTTAGTCCACAGCTTGGATATTCATTTTTAATTCGACAACAGTTCCTCTAAATTAGACAAAGGATCCTAAAGTGCAAGCACAAAGTGTGCTCAAATCTTTCAGAACATTGAGTATGTTATTATGATTTGGTGACAGAGTCCCAGTTGGCTGATAATGAGTCTGGCACAGTGTCTTTATGAAACGAGTGACATGATGTACTGTAGCCTGCAATGCATCACGTTGCTGGGCTGCATGAAAGACAGTGATAAATGCTGCTGTAATGACATTAAAGGTTGTTATTTGTGTTCCACACACAAAACTAACCATGCATCTATAGTTACAACCATGTTTTATTTCATCTTTACACATCCCTGTTCACTATATGTCTCATTTTCCCTCCCCCTCTCGGCCCTGCTCTAGTCACGTACTGCTAACATACAGCCAGAGTCAAAACAAGGGTAATGGCTGCTTTAGAACAGCTTTATTCTGGTGACTGGCTCTGCATGCATGCTCCTTAAGGGCAATGATTTATGACATGAAGAGAGAGACCATAGCAGCAGGAGCAGAAAGCACTCTGCTGGATTGAATGGTGTACTTGAATGATCCTTTGGCAGGTCCATAAGCGCAGTGTCAGGGAAATATAATGGCAGGGGTGCACTACTGGTCTGAAGATAGGGCTCTTTGTAAGAGTTCCAGTAAGGAATATCTGACTGGAATCTTTTTCTTTACAGGAATCTATCAAAGAAATATCAGCCCAAGAAGAACTCCAAAGAAGAAGAAGAGAGCAAGTAAGTTAAATGATGCTGCATACGAGGTAAAAGGAATGCTGTGAAATTTTGAGGTGGAGAGAAGAGCCAGCAATTTTTTAATGAGTAGAAATCACTGGAAACATTTAATAGAAATATATAAAGTCATAAAGCATCATTTAAATGGGGATTTGTTATGTTTTTGCTGTAGTCTTGTATATAATTGGCAGATATGAGAGTGGTATCCTCTCATTATCTCTGTATTTAAAAACATAAACTATTCCTTTTACTTGTTCTCACAGAGGTCGTTTTCTTTCAAAAATGAGCCATGTTTTTGGTAGCCATGTCTTTCCTCTGACTTCATTTCCTGTGGCCCACTAGGTACACCTTCTGTCGAGCCTTCCTAACAACACTGAACGAGTTAAATGATTACGCAGGTCAACACGAAGTTATTTCTGAGAACCTGACATCTCTTATCATCACCGAACTTGCGCGCTACCTACAAGAACTCAAGACTGAGAGAAAATCGGTGAGAGCTTTTGATATGGGATCTTTGGTTATTTTCTTTTTCTCGGTATTTGATTTCTGTTTCTTCTATTCCTCTGTTCCTATGCCATAAAAAACAAACTTTGACTTCAGACAATAGGATATGTTTAAGGAAAACAGACACAATGGGCTTTTTAACAGTGCTTCCCCTTTGCATGTTCTGTTCTCCATGAACCGAGGTCATGCCAGAGTAAATATAGATACACCCAAAGGCTCACCAGAAGAGCAAAACGTGACTGAGTGAGTCCTTTTTATGGAACACAGTCTTCGTCTCTCTGTCATTACACACTTATTCCTTCTTTTAAACCAACTAAATATCGGTACACCACATGCTATTCTTAAACATTTAAATCACTTTTATCATTACCATTATAAAGTGATTAGAAAGAGTGGTGCACTTGCATTGTGTGATGCATAGAAATCAAAGAGTGGTGGAAGAGCAGAAAGCGAGAGAGAGGATGAGACCTAGCCACCTGGGAAAGTGTTCTGAAAATCTTTCATGAGCTCTTTTGTCTTGGAAGTCCTGCTGGGGGAACTGGAGTGGAAACCCAAAACCAGAGTGCTGCTCAAAGGCTTTTTTTAGATTGCGTTTTCATTCGCACAGGCACAGACATCAAGGCTCCTACATTTAGTCTATGGACCACATCATTAGTGATCATAATGAATTTTAAGCTAAGTTTTAGATGGAGATGCTACAGAAAAAAACGGGAATTTCCCATATTTGTAAAGAGAAATCACACACCCCCAATTCATTTTTTACTTTGGTTTAGCCTGCTTCATACAGCAAAGATCACATACAGACTTCAGATTTGTCTCTTGTTGTAAAGGTTGATTAGAGAGACTCCTGCTGCTCGCAGGCTGCAGAATGTCACTTTGACCCCACTGTTCCTTCTCATTTCTCTGCACAGTTCCTCTTTTTCTACTCTATTTAATTCTTAAATATATCTGTTTGTCCCTTTTTGATCCTTTCTCATCCTTTTTACCCATTCTTTTCTTTAGTCATGTGTCTTGACTAAAGAAGCCTAAAGCAGTATATCTTCAGTTAGCTAGTACTGGGGGTTCCCCTTCATAGCATAGCCATAAAACTTGTTTTATGGCTATGCTATATCCCCTGTCCAGATCAGATAGCTTGTTCTGTACAGAGGATCATTTCATCTAAATTCATTGGGTTTCTCATGTTTACTCCACAGTGTCCTTGTGGAGTAAATTTAACCTGTTAAGCTTTCAGTCATTTAAATGATTTTGCATTGAGATTCAAAAGCACATTCATACAACTCCTGAGTACTGGGGTGTGACTTTGGCTTATTTTAAGTGTTGAAAAGCCTGCTGACAAAAGCAAATTTCCAGCTATAGAAAAACATAGCACTACCAGAGAAAGTGATATATTGGGTGTTGTTTGTAAAGCCCCCAGCTTCCTATCATCCACTTTTCCCCCCTTATTTCTAAGCACTACTCAGTGTCCCCTCTGCAGCATTTTGTTTGTGTTAGACAAAGCCGTGTAGGCAGACCCAGACAGTGGGATTAGAGGCTGAAGCTGGCCCCTCCAGGGTTTATAGGAAGCTTATTGCGCAGGTAAAAGCCACATTACAAACCCGGAAATGAAAAAAAAAATCCTCATTAAGTTCTCATATGGACTTGTTTTGTAACTTTCTACACTTCCCCTTTGCTGTCTTCTTGAGTGAATCGCTTGCTAAACTCAGCTCGGGGTGGCATATGAGGTGGCCAGCAGTGTTCTCCTAAAAGGTTTAACATAGCAAATCTAGGTGTTTTTACAAAGGTAGAATCACATTTTATATGCTGGACTAAAGCTGTTGTAAGCACAGTAAGAAATATTTTAAATATTTCACAGTTGTGACAACATACTTTCTTGTTTTTGCATTGCTTAATGTCTTAAAGTGTAATATGAAATGTTGAAGAGGGGGCAGGGTTAATATGGGATGAAGGCTCTTTAAGTCTCACTGGACTGTTTGTGCTGAGGAATCATAATAAGGTGTTCAGTCAGCATACTGCTGTCCTTACCGGGTCTCTGACCACAAGGCTTAACTGGCCTCTCTAATGAAGACTGCCGAAGACCCTTAGACTGTGCAAGACTTCCTATAACTCATCATAGGTTCCCTTTTTTATGTAAGTATGTGACATATTCAGCCAGGTAGAAAATTAAAAAAAAGAAAGACACTAGCTCATTTAGCTGCAAAGACCAGAAAAAAAGGCATTGCATTTAGTGGAAAAGCAATAGATATTAGGTGCTTTTGTGCCAGAAAATATCATCCTTGTTGTTCTCGTTGAGGCAGGCAAGAAAGAGAAATCATGGTTAAACACATTGCATCACTCTGGGCTGTCCTCAAATGCCTTCTTGTGTTGAGTGGAAAAGCAAATAGGAAGGTGAGAGGGAGAATTGATCGTTGGATCTTCCAGTAGTCTCTGCATGCATATATCAATCCAGAATGACTTCAGTATAAACAAACGCTGCAGTACCACTAGGTTTGAACTGTTGCCTAATGGATTCGACATGAGGAGAAACGTCCCAGTGGAGCTTTCATAGGGTTTAATCATCTCTGTCGTCTCTAGAACTCCACACAACCTGTGGCTATTTCCAGTACCTAATGATTATATGCATGCTGACAGCTGTATGAGGCTGCAGGTTCACATTCCTATGACCCAAGTCAAGTCAATGAATGAGTAATATATCAGTTAACTGCTGCATATGCACAGATGTGCACGTGCACATCTTGACTCAAGTGAGCTTAAAGATGCACATGCTAAGCAGTAAAGAGGTTTTCTCTTTTACGTGTCAGAGAATACAGATTTTTACAGTGGATAAGGCAGCTTGTGAGTGCACATCACACTCAGCCCAGCCTGGAAAAGGATGCCAGTAAAAAGAGGCATGTAAGGATCATGGTTGTGAAAACCCAAATCTCTGTCCTTAGATGCCTCGTATCTTTGTCATGTGCTATGGTACCTGGATGGTATTAGAGAGTCTGTGTCGCAGCATGAGGAATTCCTTTATTTATGAAGGATGTGTCACAGTCATGAAAAAGCATGCCTACTTTCCATTATTAAGTGAATATTCAACTTTGATCTTTGATCTCATATTATTATTATCTAATCCCACTTTTATTAAACTTTAACCTCCTAAGTCCCGAACTCTTTCATGCCATGCATTTTTAATTTCTCTTTGCTATTTGGGCTGATTGGGACCTGATGAATGTAAAAACCAAGAATTACCAGATTCTATTTTATTTTTTACCAGATTTTTGTTTCTGAGAGAAATGAGATCCACATATGAGGACGTTCATTTTAAAATTTTATAGAACAGTGGCAGTATAATGTCCTCGTAAGTGAATATCAGCCCCTTGTAGAGCAAAATTTAGTATTTTGGCCTAGACAACCAATAATGTGATGTTCACATATGTGGACTCCAGGTCCTAGGAGGTTAAATATGAATGCAGCAAAAGGATGAATTCTGGGTCAAGCATTTTTTAGGCCTTTTTCTCTCACTTGTTCTGGTAATGGAAATGGCTTGAGGTCACTGAACTGCTCTCAAATGTCACTGCAGTCACAAGCTCTTATTGATTAGCATGAATGGAAAAAAGATGACATGCTCATTGAGTTCTGAATGGGCTACGAGGGATATTTGTATCACCAGGGTCTGTTAATTTAAACACTGAGAAACCAGTACAGCAGAGCATCTGCTCTGATCGCTGTATATGTGCCGTCCCAGGTGGCTGATGGCTCTTTTTATTGTGTTTGAAAGTAAAACTGCCTCATTTGTCCCTGTAGTCAGTAAATCTTCATCCTCCAGCAGATCTTGTAAACCTGATGGAGCTGTTTATCGCAGTTTGTTTATCTCCATAGATATTTATGTTGTTTTTTTTTTAAACCAGATGATGTGCAGATTTCTTTTTTATAAATGTGGTTATAGAGGTAAATATTTGGTTGAACGAATTCTCCATAGTAACAGTGATGTCATATGGTCTGTGAGCTTGTGTTGTGTGGAGAGGCTTCACATTCACTTATCAATTACCAAGAATTACTTTCAGAGTACATCATTGAAAAGTTGGTGTTATTAAACAGTCACCTGCAGGTCCTGGTTAGCAGATTTTTTTTTTTTTTGGCTAGTTAAATGTTGCATTGTTGGGAGCTGACTTTAGCAGTTCCACAGTGTCCTGTTTTTTTTTTTTTGTAACGCTCAAATACTTCCTCTGAAACACTGGAACACTTCCTTATTTTACTCAGCTTCCCTCGAAACTTTGGGAAATGGGAAGTGTGAATGCCTGAGGTACACCAGGTTGCATTCTCACTTACTACTCTCATGTCATTCAAGTAACATGAACTTTTAAGCCTCCTGCATCATTTGTAATTTCACATCTCTTGCTTATTTAATCAGAATACCAACTTCCTTGTGCTTCCCAAGCACTGAAATACCAGCAGCGTACAAACAGCAGCTTTCTGTTCTTTATAATAGCCTGGGTCCGTTATTGAATAGCAGCATCGATATTCAACTCAGCTACTGGTCCCAGCTTCCGCAGTCTGCGTTACTATGGGATACCGCATTAATAGTCAAGTCCCTGTGCCATTTTCATTTGATTCTTTTTGAAGTCCTGTGCAGATTAATCTTTCTGTCAGCAGTTAAAGAAGTATTTGCATGCTTTATAGCTAATCGCAATCCATTAAAAAAGAAAAAGTTTAGATTGTACCCGTGTGTTTGCAGTTCCAGGGGATTTGGCTGTGATCCACACAGAGAGCTGTAGAGGGATGTGCTCTGTCGTCGGGCCAAGTGCACGTTAGTAGGCTAAGCGAGGCCATGTACAAAAAGCACAGCGTATTTGCTGTACAAGTTTAGACTAGCAGCTGCCACCTAGTCCTCTCCAATATGCTACAGTTGACATTGCCAAAATCCTTCATTGTGTGTTTGCCTCTAAATAGTTTCTATCATTTAATTCATGCCTTGTTCTCTGTGAATTTCTATTTTAAGTTGCTTCAGCTGCTATTATAGAACTTCATCAGTTAGCCTTTATCTGTTTCTTATTCTGCCCACTTTGCTCTGGCTGTTACTGTCATGTTTATTAATACAGGTTTTTTTGGGAAAGTACAGACTTTACCTGGTAATGGCTCTAAAACAGTTAGGGGAATACCAACATGATTACTGCTTAGTCAGACATCAGAGCTGTCACACAGAGAAAAGTGGGATCATCAGACTAATCATTAATATTGTTTGTAGGTCACAGTATTGCAGTGTTTGACCAACAGAATTTCCCTCATCCAACAGTAGATTCATGCTTTTAGTAGTTTCTTTCAACACGCTTTCTAATAAGCTGTTTATAACTTCTCGGTCTTATGGATATATATTTTTAACTATTTCTGGTAAGAAAAAAGTAGGATTTAGTAAGTTTTATCAAATAATATGCATTCTGTATTTGCATGACCCTCAACAGAGAGCAGAGAGGACTGCTTTTTAAAAACAGAAACCTTTGGTGCACAGCTCTGCTATGAGCATGGTGCTTTGTGAAGACAACTCAGTGTACAGTATCTTTGACTGGTTTTAATGATTTTACTGTTAACCTGTTTTTGTCACTGTTACACACTTTCTCTGGAGCTGTGTTGGTACCCCTGTGGTGAGCCTGTGGTTAATCTTTCATCAAACAGACTTTTAGCCTCCTGCTCAAGCTTGAATATATCTCTGAGCGCTAAGCTCGTGGGTTCTATGGTTGTAATTTTTAGAGTATGTACAATACAGTGTCTATTTGAATTTGCACAGTTGACACTAATACTTCACTGTCACAGTGTAGGAACTATTCATAGTGGTTAATGATTACCTCATCTAATTTGTAAACCCTACTATATCAAAGACATGTTCATCTGATTTTAAATCCCTTGAGCTCATAAATAATATGAGAGAAATTAACAATTCTGTACTTTTTCTGTTTTCTCTTGCAGCACTTCCATGATGGGCGTAAGGCACAGCAGCACATTGAAAGCTCGTGGAAACAGCTGGAAGCGGTAAGTGAACCTATTTACGTGCAGTTCCACAGTTGTGCACTAGTTGCAACAAATACATACTGAGCTTGCATCATTTGCAACTATAACATTACGAAATTATAAATGACTAAAATAAACCATTTTTTCTGGATCGCTTGTCAGTTTCTCTTGGCTTGGGAGCCAGAGGCACTTCAGATTTTCGTGGCAGCCTAACCCAACCTAGAAATGAGTGTAATACAAGGTGAAAAAAACAAACAAACAAAAGCAATACTTCTTTGAACAAACAAATATCGGTTTCTTTATGAAGGATTTGCTCCAGGCATTTTAGATCATTCGAGTTATTTCCCAGGTGAAGAGTTGCTACCAGTCAGCAGTAATAAAGTAAAATATATAAAGCACATCATTATCAAAAACTGCCAGACATGAGGTGTTAGTGGGAAAAATGTAAATCAGCAGAGGTCCTTGTACAGAAAAACCTCCTGTTATGTCCTAAAATCTCAGTGTACATTTTCTTTTACATGCAGTGAGGGGGACAGAAGTCACACACTGTAAATAATAATAATGACATCAGATGAATTGATTGATACACACACTGCCTGAGGTGCACCTAGTACTGAAGACTGAAACACTGAAGTATAATGTAAATATCAGCTGCTGGCAAGATTTTAAGTACATTGTTTCCCGTGCTGAAAAAGTGCAGGTCCAGGATTTCTGTTTGTATTTGTAGTAAAGAAGCTCGAAGAGAAATTGCACAGAACACTACTTCTTATCTCTGGCTGGCCCCTTTGACGGGGGAGAGAAAGCGTGTGAGAGAGATGCCTTGTCCTTCTCAAACTTCTCTGTGCACTCAATGGATACCATTGTATGTGAGGCAGATAGGCATAGTTCAGAGTGCACACTAGCCCAACAAACACTGATTGTTCAGTTAGAGGGGTCGAAAGAGGGTTGGATGAATGCTTGTTTTTCTGTACACAAATGACCACTATGAACATTTGTTTAATCTGCAGACTGCAGACTTTTAACAAACCCTGTTCCTGTGTCAGTTGACATAAACTGACCTCTGCTGCACACAACGCCAGGCCTTAAATGTATTTGACGTACACGTACACATTATGACGTCCATTACTGTGCTTATTTAAAAGTCAAGTAATATAGCATTCTGCTATAGCTCGTGGCAGGAATTGACCGATGTAATGTGTGTGATCTCATTAAATCATTAAACCCTCTTATTTCAGAGTAAAAAACGGTTTGAGAGGGAGTGTAAAGAGGCAGAAAGAGCACAGCAGTACTTTGAGAAGATGGATGCTGACATTAACGTGACTAAGGCTGACGTGGAAAAGGTATGTGTTGTGTCACCTCATATCCAATGAGCTTGCCCTGTACCCTTCATGCTTAACACGACTGCCTGGGCTTCTCACCCTCCCACCTAGCAACCTTTTTGTCACGATTTTCTTTTCCACGTATTCCCCCTTTTATGCCCCGATCCTGAGTCCTCGTTCCAATGAGCCTAAAAGACAGCAAAGACTGACTGATGACGTTCTTGATGCCAGGAACTGTGCGAAGAAGCTGGCATTGTCCCAGCAGCACAGTGATCTGCTGCTAAACAAAGCTGATAGCAGCAACAAGTCTGTATTATCTATGTAGAACAGCCACCAAACATCTTTGTTTAGTATAAAAAGGTTTGGTTCTCTTATGTGTCTTTCGGTTTATACATGTAGGTTTGTTTTTACTTTTTGACTGTGAAAAACTAAATAAGTAGCGTGCTGTTTTAGAGATTATATGTCCTGTTCAATAAATCATCACAAGGAGCAATCATCCGATTCTCAGAACTTGCAGCCCACAGTCTCCTGGGCCCGTAGCTGATGTCATTTCCTGTTGTCATGACCAATTAAAAGAGCCCTCAAAATCTCAGACCCACACAGCTCCCACGCCCGCAAGGCATCATGGGTCAGCAGCGCATGTTCCTGCTGCTTCATCAGCTGTCGGAGCAGAGCTGAGGCTCACAGTTGACACAGTTCAGACCTGATTATTATGCAAATATAGGCTGGAATAAAGAGCCTTTCTACACTCTGGACATGCAGCCAGAGAACTACAGTCATCTTAAGAGAGCACTGAACTCAGCTGGAAAGACCCGGCACAGCAGCTCAAGAATCTATTGTTGAAGCAGGAGTTGCTATACTCATATCAGAGTTATGTTTATTATCACACAACATTCGTAAATTGCACATGATATCAGCAAATGAAATGATCATTTGATTTTCACTTTATTTGAGTTCAGCCTGTTTGTAAAGTGGGGACATAAACTGTGTCATAGTATGCCAGATTCTTCACAAAATAGTCTTAATCTTACATTATAGGTACATATGCAAGCAATGTTCATGAACAGTGTATGAACCGTAGTTAACTGGACAAACCCATTAAAACCACTGATATTGCCCTTTTATTTAAATACATCTCTCACATTACATATCATTTAATTGTGCTTTAGTCCTCTCCTAGTCCTTCTCCTTTGGATCATTTGGGTGAACTTGGCTTGCTTTTTTACTTACTCATCTTTCAGGAAAACCTGAAAGATGAGCTTGTCAGCGTCTTTCTATAACAGGTACTTTTCTTCCAAAAAGTACAAAAAAGCAGAGCTTAGTGTTCTTATTAAGATATAGAGTATAGCCACTTAGACACTTGCGTTATTACATTTGCTGCAAAATACATGCACAGTTTAAAGGTACCCAGATGAAATGTCACAACCACAGCTTAGTTTGCATTTTAGTCATAGTGAAAAATGTTGCTCCATGAGGAGGTTTGGGGTGAACAGATAGGTGGTGGCATGGTGGTAGGAAAAGCAGAGAAAGAGTCATGTATATTTTGACCTGTCCAAATCAGTATTTTCCAGCTAAGTTGGCTAAATATTTAACAGAGATGTATTTTGAAAGTTCACTTCAACTAGATGCTTTTGTCGGTCATGCAGTGCCCTTAATGCAAAAGAGCTGCTGTTTGTCGAGCTGGAGTTTTGTGGTTTTAAGCACAGCTGGAGCAAACCTCTAAGTGTTCTCTCTCCACCTCTGGCAAACAAATCCCTTAATTAGGGGTTTGGATTTGCAGCCCAGATATCCACAAACACAGTTACGGTTCTTTGAGGGACCCCCGGCCCTCACACACACTGACAGACTTCCCTGTTGTGGATTCTCCGTCATAAAGTATAGGGATACAACATATTTCCTTCCTCTCAACTGTTCAGCCTCTACCAGTAGCGGAGAACAGCAGCTTAAAATCCCACTACTTTAGTGGTGATCGTGTTTGTTTATTCTGATACCAGCTTCCTTTTTTTAGCGATGATTCTCGAGGTGGTGCAGGAAGTGCATCTATAGCAACTTCTTGTTTAGCTAGAAACAGCTAATAATTCTTTTGTGTGTATGTGTGTGTTTGTAAATTTATTTTATGCCATGCCTTGAAGCGAAGTTTCCATAAGGTAGGTCCAGCGAGCAGAGAACCCGTATCTGTCGGAACACACACTGTCTCGACTTGTGTCTCGATATACACACGGTCTCCTGTAGAGTCTGACACATAGCCTCAACCAGGTCTGTTACCACGCCCTGTCCTGTCTGACTGTGGCTTATCGCGCTGTCTGCTGCTGTACACTTTCCCACTCTTGATTTTTATGTGTAAGAAATATGAGAGAAAGGCTGATTATGCTAAGTCAAACCTTTATAAACATTCATGCAGTTTGTGTTCCACATCCTCATTATTTCATCAAACTCTTCTTTAAAATCCACATTTGACAGCTAGATAAATAACTTGAAATGTGTAAATATGTATTTATACCCATTAGTGACAGCTAGCAAAACAGGTAATTTCCAGAAAATGACAACAGGATGTGATGTGGCTGCAGGCACAGCAACTCGTTTTGAAGCACTGGCAAAGTTACCATGGTGATAGCGCGTACCCTCATTATTTCTAAACACATTCAATACACTTTGCATGCACCTACACTTGCAAAGCACATACGCTAAATGCATGCTCACATGCTGGCGTTTAGAATTTAAACAGCTGGACTTCTCCATGTGCTTTTTAGCTTTTCTCTAGATTTCACGTTCCTTGTCTTTCGTAGGCTGTGTGACTCACAGCCAATCATTTTCCACTGAGGTATCATTTGTCATCCCTCATGTGCTGGAAATAATGTACCTTTGTATCTGACGTGTGTCTCGATGTACTGTGTGTGTGTGTGTGTGTGTGTGTGTGTGTGTGTGTGTGTGTGTGTGTGTGTGTGTGTGTGTGTGTG